CTCCTCCTCCTCCTCCTCCAATAACCCTAACCTAAACCAAATTAAGAAACCATCTTCTTGAGCTTTAATGGCACAAAAAGTTTTTGTTTCATCTCAGACGATGTCCAAGTCATCTATCCATGGAAAGCTTACCTCACCACAAAATGTGGTAAGGAAGGTAGGTGACCTTTTTCCTCAAGAATTAGATACAACAAGAAAAGCAGATTTGATGATGTTTCCAGAAGGCCACATTAATGAGGATCCATTTGCAGTAACCGCCGCACTTCACAAACGTGGGAAAAATGGTGAGCGAATGGTTTTGTTGCAGAAAGGGTGGAAGCCTGTGGCTGAAAAAACTTGAACTGGAAGAAGGAGACAAGGTGAGTATTTTTCTCTTGGATAAGAACGCGAGGACTTATTCAATTGAAATGGAAAAGGCTCCAAGGGCGGATCCTGAGCCAGACCAACCCCGCATAAAGCTTGATCTGAACCAACCAGCCAGCCCTACTTGAAGTTCTGATAAGCTGAAGTCTATTAATTAATTAATTGGTACGTTTCCTCGTGTTCAATGGAATTGGTGTTTCACGTGTTTGAATTGTAGCTATTAGTTAAGATTTTGTTAAGTTAACGTTCCTACTGTCAAGGTATCATGTTTAGTGCAGAAAGTCAGTGATAATAATTAGATGTATTAATTAGGTGGGGCTAATTAGTAATCACCATGCACCACTACTCTATATATAGTACTGTTGACTGAAATTGCCATGCATATTGGCAATAACAGCTTGTAATCTGTCATACTATCAATGAGAGAAAATTAAGTCTGAGCAGATCTTCTTCTTCTTCCTTGCAATTTTCTGGTTCATTGTCTATTTATATATTTTGCTTTAGCACGTCGTAACTTGTTAAGGGTTACTCTGCATTTTACCTTATAGGGTCACAGGGATCTTAGAGGGTAACAGCCAACAGGGATCTCTATGGACTGACGAATTCGTACTAATATATATGATTCCAATTTGTTTGTCACCTGTTTCAGGTTCTTATTTAGGGGGATATGATTCCATAATAAGACGGTTATGCTAAACATAATACCGAAAAGCTAAACAAAGATATGTTCCTTTTCAATTTTTCTTTTATAATCCATCCAGCTGGACAGTTGCTGTTGCTCTGCATGATAGCTCCTAGATTGGACCAACCTTTTGAGGATTCGTTATCTAACAAAGAAGAAAAATGATTGGAGCATCTTTCAATTTAAGACATTTAATAGTACCCACAAGTTCAACAATTAAAGTTTGTATCTTTTGATTTTTTCATCTTTAATTTAAATTTAAAAATAATAATTTCTTAACAAATGTGATGTGAAATACATTGAATTAAAAAATGTATTAATTATTATCATTAAAAGAATAGATAAATTTTGATAGGAATTTGCATTGATATTTTTTTGAGGCTTCTTGTGTGAATTTAAATCATCTTAGCAAGGAAAAGCCATATATACAAAGTGAAGAAGTTACTAATATAGTGAGAAAATTTCTAATAATAAAAATCTCATGATAACATAGCATTAACATGAACAAAATAAAAGATAAGTGTGAAAGAGAGGAATATGGCAATAAAATAAACAAAATAAATGATGAATATGTGGTTTGGGATAGTACCAAGAGGATATCATGATGCATTAAGACCGCTCTAGTAGTCCACAATACAAGAACATTTATAAGTTTTGCACATTAATTTCTCTTCATTAACTCTTTTCTTACATATAAGCAACTCTAATATAAAGTGTAGGATACATAATATAAAGAAATAACAATTAATTAGAAATCTTTTTATTAATAAGATTATAATTAATATCAAATTCTTGAAATCAATTAATTGATAAATTAATTTCTTATGATTTGATTAATCTTCATAATAGCATGATATTCCTTATTTCTATAATTAGATCCTATTCTTTCTTCATTTTATATTAGAATCAATTATATTATGATTTGATCCTTTTACAAAGGACGGATTATTAGCTATTTAGTATATCCGGAGTAGTTTGATATTCTAAATATAATGATTTCGTTCAGGCTCAAAACACTTGACATTACATTAATAGAATCTCTTAACTAAGTTGTACTTTCAAATTTGTTATTTAAGATTTGGACCATGATTGGTGCACACAGGATCCCACACCCGGAT